CATGGAAAGTTCTATATCTCAACAGTGGATTGATGCCATGAATGAGGAGATAAAGTCTATGAAGGACAATAACATCTGGGATCTTGCCACGTTACCTGAAGATGTGAAGCTCATTGGTTGTAAATGTATATTTCAAACTAAAAGGGACTTGAAAGGCAATGTGGAGAGGTACAAAGCTCGTCTTGTCGCTAAAGGCTTTACACAGAAAGAAGGCATCGACTATAAATAGACTTTTCTCCTGTTCCACCAAAAGGCTCTTTGAGGACAATAATGACACTTGTGGCATATTTTCACCTTGAGCTATATTAGATGGATGTAAGACTGTGTTTCTCAATGGCGACATTGATGAAATAATTTATATGGTATAGCCAAATAACTTTATGTCGGGAGATGAAAAGAAGATGGTTTGCAAATTGAAGAAATCCATGTATGGGCTTAAGCAAGCTTCTCGTCAGTGGTATTACAAGTTTTATCAAGTTTATCATCTCATTCGGTTTTGAGATAAATATAGTTGATGATTGTGTATACCACAAGTCCAGTGGGAGTAAACATATTTTTCTAGTTTCATATGTCGATGACATATTGCTTGCTAGCAATGATATAGGCTTATTGCACGAAACCAAGAGATTTCTATCAAGGAAATTTGATATGAAAGATCTTGGGGACGTATCTTTTGTATTGGGCATACAGATACACCAAAATCGCTCTCGGGATATACTTAGGTTATCACAAAAAAACTATATCGAGAAAGTTCTTAAGAGATTTAGCATGCACAATTATAAACCAGGTGACACTCATGTGGCTAAGGGAGATAAATTCAATCTCAATCAATGCCCCTAAGAATAATTTTGAGATTAAAGTGATACAGCAGATTGCTTATGCGTCAGCAATGGGGAGTCTAATGTATGCTCAAGTGTGTACGCGTCTAAATATTGGGAACGTGGTTGGAATGTTGGGCAAGTACTTAAGTAATCATGGAATGGATCACTAGAAAGCAGCCAAACGAGTCTTGAGGTATTTGTAGAGAATAAAAAAAATACATGCTTACATATCAAAGATCAGACCAGTTAGAAATCGTTGGGTATTCTGACTTCGATTTTATTGGATGCTAAGATAGCATGAAATCTACTTCAGGCTATATCTACCTGCTTGCTGGGGGAGCTATCTCTTGGAAGAGTACTAGGCAAACACTCACAACTTCATCCACCAGGGTAGCTGAGTTTGTAGCATGTTATGAGGCATCTAATCATGGAAAATGGCTGCGAAATTTTGTTATTAGGATACGAATTGCAGATGGCATTGAAAGGCTACTTAAATTATTTTGTGATAATAAGTCAACAGTGTTATATTCCAATAATAACAGGAGATCGACGAAGTCGAAACATATAAACATCAGTTCCTAGTTGTTAAAGAAAGAGTTCAGAGTGGACTTGTGTCTATAGATCACATTGGGACTTACTCCATGATTGCGGATCCGCTGACTAATGGATTACCACCCAAGGTCTTTCATGATCACACTGCTCATATGGATGTTTTATCTTTTCAGGATATGTCATTTTAGTGGGAGTTTGTATTTAAGATTCTTTTATTTGTAGAAAAATTTGTTATGATTTTATGGATATTGTATGGTTATTTACTACAGTATAAACTATTCAGTTCATATTCACTCTGATTTTTGGTAAGTTTTGATCTCACTAAAGTTTTTAAGGTGGACCAGTTGGAAATAAGCATGTTAAAATCACACTACAAGAAATTTATATGTTACACATCCATGCTTGATCTGTGTTGTTGGTTGTATTGATATACGTGACCATTGATGGGTTTAGTTACGATAAATAGAATGAAGATTGCCTTGATCCTATGTTAATACAACTAATGGACGAGATTGTTAAAGATGCTATTATTTGATAGCAAAATTCATGAGCTCATATGGTTATATCATAATTCACATTTATATAGTAATATATATGACCCAAGTGGGAGATTATTAGATTTATATCCAATGATGGGACAATATATTAAATAAATGTGCATGGCGTGCTATCAATTAAAGTTAGCTCATTAAAGTGGTCTAATTTAGGGTTTGAGATTTTAATGCATAATTAAAATATGGATCTCCTATGTGTAGAAACCAAAATATAATTATTAATTCTACGATGGACTAAATTGATAATTATGAATAAATGAATTCAGTTATAAATAGGGGAGCACAATCTCTTTCAGATTTCTCATCTTCAGAAAGACTAGAGTTTCTCTAAAGAAGATATATACATAGAAGATTTGGAAGATCTACATCTCAAAACTCAAGAATCACATCTCACTACATGGATTCGGGTATGGCTCCACAACTTCTTTTGTATCTTAATAAATTGGCATGAACAATCTTGGGATTGATTAGGGTTTCATCTCTTAAAGCAAAAGTTTATCTTTTATTGATCTAACATTTGAATCTTTTCTATTTTATTTAATTTCTTTTAAAATTTATAAAATATATCTCAGTCCTCACTCTTTTCTTAGAAAACTATAAGAAATAATATTACTTTGAAACTTAAATTAATTACTTTTTCTTTTCAACTCCCTTCTCTGTTTCATATAATATGCATAAAGAATATTTTTAAAACTAATAAAATATTTAATTTTTTAACATGTTAGAAATAGATTTTTGATATCTATTCTAATTTATGGTATCTTAAAAAAAAATTACCTCGAATATTTTTTAATTAAAGATAAATATTAGAAAATTTTAAAATTCCAATTTGGTCAAGAAATGCATTCTCCTCTAACATTACACAGGCAACCCATGTGTGAACATGTATGTAATTTCTTTTTACGGATGTTTACAAATAGCTTAATCATTATTTGGCTTCCCTTTTTCTCAAAGTCGTAATCTTTAGATAATTGAGCAATTTTAAAAGTGCCATATTAACTATCCAATTTGGAAATTCTTTGGAGAATGCACTAAGCTTTGGACAGGAGGTATGCTTGGATTCTTTGTTTTAGTTAGTAATTAAAAATATTTGATTTTTTTTTTCATTCAGAATTACTGAAGTGATACAAACTTGGATAGAATGAGAAGTTTAAAAAGAGATTGTAGGCTTACAAAAATGAAAAGGCGGGTTGAGGTTCGGAATGATAGAATGCAAATTTCAGTTTATTATTCAAGATTAGATGTTGGTATTTATTCATGAAATTTGATTGGTCTTTTATGTGCAAGTTATAATTGTGTTTTCGTTAACAATATTGTTGAACATATCTTAATATTGTAATATAATTTGGCTCCTTATAAAATTTTAGACAATTATCATCTATACAATACAATAAAACAAAAACCCTGTAGTGACTTAACTATTAACCTTCTCCACAATCAAATAGTAAAATTCATATCTATCAAAGTTTTATTGCAATTATAATGCCCTTGACATTCATTACCTTCCAAGTTCTCTAAGCTTCTCTTCTCCGTTCATGTTGTACCTTAGAGTTGCATTTTCTTTTCCATATTGCTACCATAATTTGTATTTTATATATCCATGAAGAACCCATTGAGAGATGCAAAATGGAATTGGGTTAAGTGGGCGATTCAGTATAATTGTCTTAGGCTCCCCTCTTTTGTGCATAACAACTTGCCACTATAAGATCTCTCGCTGTGAACTTATATATATGATAATCTAATTAACTATTTTAAATCCAATTTGTCTTAACTAGACCTCTACTAAATATGCAAATAGAGTTAGCATTCATTAGTTGAACCCAGTTGATTATGTAATATATTATGACTCTCTCATTATAACATTAGAAATAATTTGTCTTTCAAAATTAAGGGGTTTTTCTCATAAATAATAGGATAATCGAATTAAACTATATCATTAGAACTAAAAAACAGTTTGTTGTTGTAAAGTAGGCTAATATATGTTGAAGGAGAAAGTATTACAATATTCACATATGTAAGAAATAATATTTTATTTGTAAAAAATATTGATAATTATATACTATATCTAAGTTATATGTAACTTCAAAAGTAAAAAAAATATCTTTTAAAAAATAAGAATTACGATATTTGACCACATTTGAATCACGTACATTCCACCTAGTGTTAAATGAATGAGAGAGAGAGAGAGAAAGGAGAGCGAATACTTTTACTTGAACTTTGTTGTCATTAGAAGGCGAACCTATGGATTATATATATATGTAACCTGATTCAAATTCTAATCCTGTTTCTAATCAATTATCATCCTAAGTAAATTCAAACAAATATATAGAAATTTTAATCCTATTTAAACCCTTAAAAATGATAGAAATTCTAATCCAAAACAAATTCGAATTTGAATCCTAACCCTGATTAATAAAAACAAAGATGACAGAAGCTTTTACCCTAATCATATTCTGATGCCAAACAAGTTCAAGCAAAGAGATCCCAAGCCTAATCAAGTTCAAATTTTAATCTTAATCAAATTCAAACAAAGATGATAGAAATTCTAGTCTAAAGGTTAGGTGTACAGGTGAAAATAAAGTGGGTCAAATTAATTCAATTTTCTTTATGCAGTACAGCGTCAAATTATCTGCAAGTTACATATGTGGATATGCTTTAATTAAGTTAATCTCAACCAAAATCAACATGAAGTAAATAAATACAAAATTATTTACTGAACAAAGTTCCACAGAATGTGAGGTTTATACATATTATTATCCCGAAGGTTGCATAGAATCCTGGCCGACGAAGTTCCAACTACTTAAGCACATTAAGAAGGAGAAAATAGGTACACATGAACAGCAAATAGAATATATAAACTTATCGAGAAAAAGAGTGTATTTCCTCTAAAAGTAACCACATCAGCGAAGGCAAGTTTCAGCTGGAGACACGTACATTCATACATACGGTCAAATCAAACCTATACACAAGAAATCATATATGAAGATTAAATCATTGGCAATATATACATATTCTCGAGGTTAAAAAAACCACAGACGTCGATAAAACCAATGGAACTAGCTACATATACAACTACGTTCGTATATTTCAAATTAAATTAATAACTCATGTATGCCGATAGAAGAATTAGCTTATAAAACACACATGAAAACTGCAACATGAACAGTAATACAGTGCCCTTTACCCAAGCAATCTTAAACACAGGCTTCTAATCATAAAAAAAATTTACAAGAGCAAATAAAGGGAAAAAGAAGAAGGTAATTACCGGCAGCTTGAAGATTATGCTGCTCAAAAACTACAAACTGAAAGTTTAAAGCTGTTCTTCGATGTACATAGAGCTCAGTGGCCAAATTGTTCTTCAACTTTGTACCGCGATGCTGAGCTCTAGTGGAACAAGAGATGTACACTTCCTTCACCAACAAATATCTCCAGAGAAATACAATTTCAGTTGGCCAAAGAATCGAAAAAGAATATATAACAAATCAAAGGGGGTTAAAATCACAAAACTCTGCTCATTGCCTGCACACTTCACTAATCTGAAAACATCTCTTCCGGATCCTCAGATCTCGCCAAGGGATCATTTTCTAACTCAGTATCATTCAATGCTGATTTTGCTTGAAGCGAATTCTCTTCATCATCAAAATCAGGCAACTCAGGCTCCTCATCAGCATCTCGACTGTCATCCTCACCATCATGGTTATCGACATCATGATTATATGCTGGCTCACTAATAAATTTGCTTAAACCCTCTTTTCTTCCACTGCTATTAACCCTGAGCGGATTCTGAATAGTGGAATTTTTTTTTGCTTCAGAGTTCTCACATATACAAGTTGAGGGGTTTTCATGGAATTCTCCTCTGCCAGGTCTTATCTCCTTAGGTTCACCCATGAATCCTCTTTGATAAGTGCGAACCTTGGAAGAAAATGCTTCCCATGTTAGGTTAGAACGGTTTAGAAACAGAGAGTTCAGTTTTTTAGCATTCGGACGTATGGTTCTCTTGTGCCCAAAATATCTCCTGCAGAGATAAGAAAATAGGTACACACATGTAAATGCAGATATTCTAAGAAAAAGGTCAATTGCGGATAGACCCCCTCTACTATTGCCCCATTGCAGACAGACCCCCTGTGGTTCTATTTTTGCAGATAGACCCCCCTCAGTGAGATTTTCTGACTTCTTTACACAAGAAAAAAAAACTATTACTTTTCAACTAATCGACCTCATAAGGTAAAAGAGTCAAAAAAAATTCACTCAGGTTTCTATCTGTAATTGGGCAATTGTACAAGTGTCTCTGTCTGCAATTGGGCAATAGAACAGGGGCGTCAATTTGCAATTAACCCTTTCAGAAGAGGTACAACAAGGTATCCAATCAATTGTTATCATTATGGAGTATGAAGGCATACCTTCGCCCTGCTAGAATTCTGGCCATATTGCCATTATTGTTTGTTACAAACGCATCGCTTTCATCACAAACAATAAAATCAAGAGCAGCCATGCGAGAGGAAAATGAGGAAAATGGTTCTAACTCCTCCTTGCTTGCTATAGTTTCTTTAGAATGGAAATTGGGGAATAATGCTTTCAGCGGTGCCAATGTCTCTTCACCACCATATACTTCACCAGATGCTACATAAATGTGAACATCGTTTCCATAGCCAAGTGCCCTCAGCATTAGGCCTACCTCTTCTGGAGTTAGTGGACATTTTCCATGCCTCCGTTCTTTCTCTGGATTGCTTATCTACACATGAAAGCCTAGGTTTAGACATGAAGAAAACAATAAATCCTTTTTAAGAATGTTAGTGTCCTTACATGTAAAGTTTTCCATCTCTTGCGTATTGCACCCAATTCTCTTCTTTCTTTTTCTCCTCCACCATAATAGCATCCAGAAAATGCAAGCATATCAGGTTCAAATCTGAAATGACAAACATCCTTATAAATCACAGAATTTGCAGTATCTTGTCTCTCATGCTACGAGTTAGGATGGGGGGAAAACACAGCTTCAGAAGCCTGTGACGCTTTCACCCAAACAAAGCAAAAACTCAATTGGAACTATGAATAAAAATGAATATCTGAAATAACTGACCTCCATACCATATACTGGGACATATTTAGCCAATTTTGCCAATAAAAATGTCTGATCGAGTATAAAATTCATATTCCCCAACCAATATACATTTGTAAGCAGTGGATTAGACTAGCATAGCATCTTCTCCATTAAATATATGATGTAAGTTTCTATAAGCGTGTATCCGAGCCATTCTGGTGATTTTCGCGTGAAAACTAGTCATCAAAATAAGCAATTTCAGAACTCCATAGTGAGCCATTTTAGGACGATCCACACTGTTATCCGTCTAAAATAGCATAGAAATGAGCAAATGATTGAAACTTTTTCCTGTAAATCACCCATGAGATGCCAGACAATAGCATTTTGCGTGTTTGCATGATTGTGTACGTGTGCACGTGTGTTCTTTATGTGTGTGCGTGTAAGAGCACATTGTTGATACATGTCTAGAAGCACTTTAAAAAGATGATTTTTGGATAATCACAGTTTTCGTCCTGTTTACGTAACTAAATGAGAAACTAGTTTAAAATTATCCAATTTACTTGGGTCCAAACAAGTCGCGGATATACATTACATGAGTACAAAGAAAAAATATTTTTTTGTGAGCCCTTAAGGTATAATTTACATTGCATTAAAAAAGATGGGACCATTTTCTGTAAAATTTCAAGATGTATCAGTTATTTAATGTATTTGCCATAAAATCACTATATTTATGCTCCATAATAAAGTTGAAAGTGAGTTGATTGAAATTCTAGGGTACACTTTCTCCAAAATTTCTTAATATCAATTACTTTACATAGAATCTCTGCATTATATCAATTTAAAAAAAGTAGAGAGAGCTCCAGCAATGCAGTGAACAATTTCTGCAAGATTTACTAATGTCTCAATTATTTTCCTAGAACTCTATGCATCCATAGTCAATTTAAATAAAGTCTTCTCCAAAAATTTTATTTTCCCTAATTACCTGTTTCTAAAAGTTTTTCTTCTGCAAATATCACCAATTTATCTAAGTTCTTATCGAAAAAATATTTATTTTCCCAAGAGTTTAAGAGTGTTGGACAACGTTTACTGCAAGTCAAAAATGTATCTTAATAGTATAATAAAGTGAGTGTGATAAATGTTAACTATGCAATAGACAGCGCATTATAGACTCCAGTCCATATCCGGAGAAGTTTCCTGTGTGTGTGTAGTGTATTGGTGATTATGAAAGCATTTCCAAGGAGCTTTAACTCAAGACTTTAACTGATTGAGTTGAGAATCTAATTTAGACTAGGGGATTTGAGCATAGCTATAAGAAAGATATAGCATGATATATGAAAAGATCCATTGTCTTCTTTTCCTAATAAGACTCCGGAGCTAAGACATGCTGGAGGATAAGTAGCAAATTTTTCCTGTACTACAACTAAAGGAACATGATGAGGCTCACCGAAGGTGAAGGGCAATAAAATGCTTGCTTCTTGCCCTCATTCTGCCGACCAATATCTCCCCCATTTTTCGAATTTGGCTGGTGAATCTCAAAGCATGATAATTTACCCTGCACCGTAACTTCTGCAAATCTGTCTGCAATCTATTTGCAAGCCTATAATCAAACTTTGAAAGCTGAACAGCCTGCAGCACAATTTCACAAGGATAAACTCAGTCAATATTTACACAATAAGATACGACATGATCAAGACTAGCTAAATGAAATATAAGAAACCAGTAAATATTGAAGACATACTGGAAATAGGGTCAGAAAACTAATACACTTACACTACAATAACAAGTCATAGAGAGCCTAGTATATCCAGGTCAAAGGATGAAGAGAGCAACTGTTTATAAAGTACCTAATAAATACTCCTCATTACATCTATCAGAAGTTTCATGACTAACCTCAATCTACTTGGAAGCTCTATTGCTTTTATTCGAAATCTGCTAATAAACACAGAAAGTACCTAACTTTCATGCAAATCCTTTGAGGGATGCATGAGATCCTTCTAATTTTTTCGCATCAAGTGCCAGTAATCATACCTATCTAGTTAATCTTTTCACTATTCTTGATAGGGTATACACAGAACACATGAAGCAGAAAACGAAGGTTTGCTACTAGGGGTGCAAAATGGTCCGGATTTATCCGGACTGACCGCAACCGTATCCGCTTAGAAAGCGGATATGGTAGGGAAAAATTAAAACCGGTCAGATATGGTTTCGGATACGGTTACAGTTAAGATTTTTTATTCGGATACGGTTATCAGGTCGAAATTACGGATACGGTCCGGATATCTGGATATTTGAAATGGGCTAAGTATAATACTTGTATTGGGTCGGGTCTATAACATATACTTATGTTATCCGCAACCCGACCCAAATTCAACTCAAAAGAACTCTAGAGACTAGAGTCAGCACTGTAGACCAAAACTCTTAGTCTTCTTTCCAAATCGCAACCCGCCTCCGCCTCCGAGCTCCGCCTCCGCCTCCCGCTCCGCCTCCAAGCCTCCTCCGACCTCCACCTCCGCCTTCGCGTCCCGCTCCGTCTCCACCTCCGCCTTCAAGCCGCCTCCTGGCTCCACCTCCACCTCCGCCTCTTTGCGGCTCTACTCTTCAAGAAGTCTGCGGCTGCCTTATCCTCTTGATCGACGCGATGACGACCATCAACGACGTCCAACCTCTTCTTCTCCTCCTTAATATCACTAAGGTGAATTTATAACCCTAAGCCCTAATTTTTATTTTTTGATAAAAACCATAATTTGTAGCATTTGTTGACTAAATTGAAAAGCCCTAATTTATTTGATAAAAATCTCTAACCTATTAGTCCTAATTGTTTTTAGTTGCATATATGATTGTAATTTGCATTATTATATTTTTTTGTTTAATTAAGTTTATAAATTTCAATGAATAGGTATTAGAATCATGTCGTCTAATCCATCAGTTCAAGCTTCTAATGAAGAACCCACAGTCTATGAGGTAACTTGTCTTACTTTGCGAGTTATTAAAATCATATGTATTTTTTGTCATATCCTATTCATATCTATTTCCCAAATATCGGATTAGTATCTGTATCATATCCGTATCCGACTCTCTAATATCCGAACCGTATCCGTTACCGTTTAATGCGGATATGGTAATATTTTTTTCTTACCGATGAATATGCGAACCGTATTCGTATCTGTTTTCAGAAAGTGATTATGGTTATGGTAAGTGTCATATCCGAACCGTATCTGACCCGAATGCACCCCTAGTTGTTACAGAAAGATCTTAAAGAAGATTAAGTTAAAGAGAAACAAATTAGCAGGACTACTAACTCATTTCTTTCCTCCTAACACATGACCAGTCACAGGGGATGCATTCTGATCAGATGTTGATTGTATATAAGATTTATCATATCCATGTCATTTTTCTCAGACCAAAAATGGACAAAAGAAAAGGTCAGCACATGGGAACTCACATCCATACACAATATAGGAAACAGATGCAATAAATAATTCAAACCTTCTAAAGATCCCCAAGCCACCTTGCCTTGGATACATCTGAAGCTTTATGTAATGGGATATTAAATATCTCTTTTTTTTCCTTTTTTTTGGAAATCTAAAGTTTAGGAGTAGGATAATATTTATAAATATTTGGAGTTATTTTCAAGGATATTAGAATTTGTTTAGGATTTTGTCTATTAGAATTGGCTTGGATTAGGAACTTGCATTTTAGAAGAATTAGGACTCTACTCAAATCCATTATCTACGTGTATGACTCTTTGTACCCATAAATTAGACCAAAATAGTATTTTTAACAGTTTGTTTTGATAGTGACTATTTCAAATAGAGTTTCAAAAAGAAAATTTTATGCTTTTAATTAATTTCTAATTTTCTTTATTATTAATTTTTAGTATAGATGACCTAATATCTCTATGATCATTTAGTTGATAAAATGTTATCATATAAAAGGTCCAGTAGATGAATACTCTAATTACAAATTTTATACTTCGTTACTTACCAGCGCCATAAATACACTGTAAGCTTTTGAGCTTCGCATCTATAAGAATTACTTCTTGTTATGGCATCTGATGAAGAGCAGATTGGGTGACACCAAGTCAAATAGTTAAGAATTATTTTTTAGTTTTTACTATGGCATCTGATCAAAAGCACATTGGGCGGCTCCAAGTCAAATAGTTAATTGAAACTACTAGATTGATGCTAAGAAAGTTATGTCCTCTATTTTAGTTATTAGAGTGTATCTTTCATCTGGTAAGCTCCTCTTACATGGCCCAAGATAGACTAGGACACAAAGGTAGGTCTTACTGCAATCTGCACGGATGTAGATGACATCCATGAGGTGTGTGGGTGCATTTGTGCGTGTATGCGTGCATGCGTAGGCATCTGCGTGTGTGTATGTCTATATAGCAAACCTTTTTATGATATTGATTACCGAAATCCTAAAAGGGTTAAAGCTAGGGTGAAATTCACTCCATCAATAAATAAAGAACAAGATTAGCATCCACAAAGGTTAATGCAGAATTACTAATAACTTCAATTGTTTCAGATAATGATATTAAGCAACTGAAAATGAAATAAACAACCAAACAAGCAACAGTCAATCCAGTGTTTGAGAATATTGCTCCCACAACTATGTCATATCTACAAGTAGGCACTTACATGCTTTTTTAGAAGAACAGGTAAGACTCGTGTTTGGTAGCATCTTGGGGTGCATTTCCTTGGAACACGCATATTATATGGAGCCCTAATGACTTTCCCACCTTTTCTTGGAAGCTCTTTTAAAATTTTTACATCTTTTTTGAGAAAGGATATAAACCAGCCAACATCAAATATTTCGGCAAAATTGCTGCATCAGACAATCAACACAAGATAATTCTATGAAAATTTGTTATGCCATAGTAGGGGAAGTACACTTTATTTTAAAAGAAGGTATGACAAACCTGGCATCCTTCCAGAAAGATTTCTGGTCTAGTTTTGGAACAATAAGGGTTGCATTCAAAATGCGTGCTGCAACAACTGCGTCTACTATCTGCAAATAGTAGTAGGTTTCATAAGATTTACATCAATAATAGATCAAAACAAATATATTCATAAGAAAATTAGAAACCATAGAAAATCAATGCATGTGTTATTATTTGCTACCAGGAGCTACTCAATGAATGCAATGAAATATGAAACTTTATCCAGCAGACTAGCATGTAAGGTTACAACATGAAGGTGAAAGCAGCCAACATCTTTAATCTAAGGGGCTGTTTGGTTCTCCAATTTTATGGTAATTTTTATGGAATCACCGGACAATGGCATTTTGATAATTAAATAGTTTCTGAAGATTTCCTAAAACTCAGTTTGGTTCACCGAATTATTATATAAATGGTTTCTACAAAGTAGAGAAAATGTGGGTATTTTATGGAAATCTAATTCCAGTCCATTTGGGCTGAAACCACTTGAAAATCTGACAAGTTGTACTTTTAAATATTTTTTATTCCCTTAACACTATTTCCCTTTCCTCTTTTCTTTTTCTCATTTGTCCACTAGAGAGTGATAACTTCACACGTGTTGTTGTGATTCAAATTTTCATGAAAAAAATCGTACCAAACAAAACAAAAGAATAGGAAATCACCCTTTTCTATAAAGCTAGATTCCCTATTTCCATATGTTGAACAAAACTCCAAAAGAGTTACAAACAAGCAAACACCACATTTTGAGATTACCATAAACATTTTCACAAAAATTTATAGAAACAGACGTAAATCAATTCTTGTCCCCTTCTCATTTTCCTTAAATTTATGGAAAACGTACCAAACAGCCTCTAAAACAACTATGATACTAAAGAGACAAGCATAGAGCTTCCAATAACTAAAGGTCAGCAAGAATGCATCTAGGAAAATAGAGTACACATTTAAAAGAAAAGAAACCAAAAGTTAATCTTGTCCCAGGTTCGTCACCCTCAAGCACCAAAACCCCTCCCCCAAAAATAAACAAAAACAAAAATACAAAAGCCTGCTGGATACACACCTCTATCACATTGGAATAGGACATTCTGGGTTCATAATGCTTTTGACTTTGCAAAAGGAGTTAGTTGAGTAAAGCTGCTCTTGATTTCATGAAAGAAGAGTGCAAGTTTTCTTTCTGCAAACATATAACCCCATATGGTTAAAAATCTAAAATTATGCTACTCAAGTTCAAATCAGACCTTGTTTGCTTCCATGCTTCCAGATTAGATGATTACAGACAAGAAAGAAAGTTCGCAGGAATTTCTATGAGGAACCATGGTTCATCTCCGTAGTTAAACATGTTTGGGCGAGAACTCGAATGCAGAGTCTCCTAGGAGGCTCTGCTTGGAGCCATATAACAGCTAACAAGTATAAATGATTGTAGTAAGAAAAATGCTTACTTAGTTTCATTGTACAACATTATCCCAAAATTAAGTTGAACACCCTTCATGGAACAACATCTAGACTATTTTATACAGTGATACCATTTTTTCCAAAAAAAATCTATTTAAATGTGTACCTGATGAGAGTTGAATCTAGGTTTCTCTAATATCGTATTAAAGTCATTTCACTTACACCAAAAGTTTAAAGTTTGATATTTGACAGCTAGAAAGAATTGTATACTCTAACATGCAATATATCATATAAAACATAATAATATATCTAAAACAAGAATTAAAGGTTTTTCCAAACCCTTTGAATTTTATTGGAATTGGAATTTCAATTTCTTGCTACAAACTCAAAAATTCAAGATCGTTTAAGAACAGACTCCAATCAAAATTGGTCCAAATCACATGCATCAATTCTGGTCACAACTCACAATCTACACGATTTATAGAACTTGGCTCCTGTGGAAAAATTTTGGTCATACCACAAGATAAACATGAACTAAAGACATAAATAAAATAAATCCTCATTCCAACAAAATTCAAACAAGTAACTCCCTAGTAAAGATAAGATCAAATCCCTAAATGTATTCCAGTCTAAGTTGCATGCAAACGTATACGGTACCAGTATGAGCAATGTTTTAAATATCAGTTATAAACCGATATTATCGGCGATTTATCTGTTTTGGGGGCCTTCGGCTATGATAAGTTCGATTCTAAATCAGTTATCGTTTTTGAATGTTTATCGCTGATAATACGATGATAAAGTGAGTTATCAGCCGATATTGTCGACCCAAAAATCGAAATTATCGGCGTTTAGTTTGAGTTTTGATTTCGAGCGATGAGCACCTATTCAATGCATTTTAAACCCGACCCGACCCGAGTTTCGACCATTAGTTAGTGATCCTAAATATAATTATGTAGATTTTGTTATATTTTTATTTTATTAAGTACAGTTAGATTATATATTAGAATATTATATAATGTATATCATCATTCGGTAATGTCACTCCGATAAATACTACTTATCCCCGAAATATTCCCAATATTCGCTATCCGATATGGATTTTGACCATCCGATAAACCCTCGATAACTAATATTTAAAACCTTGGGTATGGGTGCGAGCACAGGTACGGGACACTGCTACATATATATTGGAATTAATAATTTACATGAGATAACTATTGTTTTCCAATCCATGTGTTATTAGGAATAAAATTCCTATCACATTTTAAGTTTCTTTTATTATGTTTATTATAAATTGGAAACTTGTATTTGAACTAGACACCAAAACAATCCTTTAAAATCTTTTTCTATTTATTATTTATTATTTTTATTGAACATGAGTATGGGCTGAGATGAACTCGACCAATGTTTAATAAGTTTCAAGAAATGGATGTGACGTGTAGGATATACGTCCAAGAAATGTTTGACAATTGTTTAAAACTACAATGTATATCATATAACTGAGTACATCATCTGAATAAATGCATGCATATTTCCAATGAGTGTCCATTAAGTTTAGGTACATATACGTGTTGGATATGTGTCGGGTATGTATCGGGTACAGCTTTATGATAGAAGTACTTATAGGTATCAATGCCATTATGAAATATGTAGGTTTTATCAACCAGTATGAAATCTGCATCCCTAAATCTTCAACCTTGTAGTTTTGCATATATTCACTCGATCAAACTGTCACCAACTTTGTCATATGAAATAAAGAAAAGATTATCTATAAAGTTTCCAATAGTACATGTACATGTACATGTTAGTCATTGACCCGCAATGAACCAGAAGGTAACAAGCGACTGTACCAACTGCTTTAAGCAATATATTGACTTTATGACATGCAAATATGACCGCACATCCCTAAACAACAAATAACATAGCTGATACATGTAAATCTACTTTCGAGAATTACCAAGCACAAGCAGCATTTTCGATTAGTTGCTCAGTCTCTTGATTTAATCAATCAACCATGACCACCAGCATATTTATTTTTGAGTAATAAAATTTAATTCACTGTGTATCTTACACAACCTATACTATTGAGTAATAAACTTTAATTCACTGTGTATCCTACACAATCTATACTATTGAGTAATAAAATTTATTTAGTCAATCATAGCTCAAATAATGGATCAGCTAATTAGCTCTATTTATTTTTATTCAACATAAACAAAACCAATACCAACCAATAAAGACCCTGGTTTACAACAACAACATCAACAAAACAAGTTCATCTTCTCTTTAAGGAAAATTACTCACCCCAGTCCTCTGCTGATTCAATCCTCCACTAGTTGCAATCACCAAATACCTATCCGGCCGCGTATTAACTTCACCTGTGACAAAAATCACAACAGAAAAAAAAAACCCCAAAATCTCATCTCAATGTCACCTTCGCCACCTCAAACACAAATCAAACAATAAAAACCTGACATCACCTTCAAACTTCTTGCTCGCATTGCTACACCCATAGAAACTCCCCGCCCTCTTCGACCTCCACAAATCCTGCTTCAACCTCCCTCCTTCCCCCTACAAAAACCAAAATCACAGTTACAAAAATGCCACCATTTCCCCCATTAAAATCCAAACCTGGATGCTCACGGGAACTTGAAACAAAATATCGCGTTCAGGTTCGGTTTCATGAATATCGAGGTGCTCGAACGAGCTGAGCTGGTTCTCGGGGCGGTGATCGACGAACGGAGGGGTGAAGAAGGAGAGGAGAGAGATGAAGAGGAGGACGAGGACGGCGGCGCCGGAGAATGCGGTTGTCGCCAGAAAAGGGCAGCGGAGGCGGTGGCGACGGCGAGGCATCGAGGAGAGGACGAAGAAGACGAAGAAGAAGAGGTTAGGGCAAGGGAGCGAGCTCTTTGGACGTTTCTTTCTCATTGAGGAAGCTTATGATTCCTCTTTCATTAATTAATTTGATGGTAATAATATAGAATTTGTTTGCTTTTGCTTTTTTTTTTGGACGGGCGTGAGATTGGGAAAAATAAAAATTCTTTTGTTGAGGATTTTTGTTGAGGGAGGTTTCTGTATGTTTGTTTGCGTGGAGAGAGGGGTCAAAGTGAGGACTGTAGATCTCGTTGGCCGTTGGGATTTTTATTTTATTTATTTGTCGTTTGGTAGGAGTTACTAGGCGAATCAAATCTAGATACTTTCTTTTCAGTTTTAACTTTAATTTTTCCTACTTAAGAAGAGACTACGGCGCTGTTTGGTTCGTTTCCTTGATATAGAGAAATGCAATTCCATGTAAAGAAACACAAGTTTTGAGTTTTCCAAACTTTTCCAAGAAATAGATTGTTTTGTTTTGGTTCGCACATAAAAAATGGTGGGAAACCAATGTATTTATTTTTCTTGTGTTTGGTTCGCATAGAAAAAAAAGAAAACATTTGTAAATAAAGCAGAGAAGGAAAAAAATCTGACGTGGCAGAGTTTTCATCAATTTCACTTGGTTGGGGAAGGAAATCGGAGAGGGGAAAAAATCTTAGTTGGCGACGATTTTAGCAGAGTTTTCCCTCTTCCATTCGAGCGAACCAAAGCGGCACAAAGAAATGGACGGAAACAAAAAAGCTGACGTGGAGGGCTAAAAATTTGACGTGGAGGGGTTTTCTGAGTTTTCCACCCCTTATAATAGCGAACCAAACAGCCCCTACATGTCAATCTTGACGGATGATTTCTTGTAACCCTCTCATTTTGCAAGGTTCACTTTTATGTTTTTCTACCACCTACTCGTTACAAGTAAAAAGACCTCGTTTGATCCGCAATGCGTTTCTTGTGCTGACAGGGTTCATAAATTATGGCCAGCAAAGAAACGCAATATCCCACGGACCAAAATTTCATTCTTATCTTATTCCGTAAGAACTGTTTACTTGTAATTACTCAATACTCTTGTGAAAAAGTGGACCGTATAAGACTATCTCCAGCAGGTAGAGATTGGGGGGTTTTTTCGCTCCAGCAGGTAGAGATCGTGAAATGGGAAATGGGAATCGGATGGGTGAATATTTCACCTCCGGTTTTTCTCTCCGTGTGGGTCCCGCAACAGTAGATCAACCCAAGCATCAAGCCATGTGTCAAGGCTTGATTGGTTGGCTTTTTTTGTTTTACTCTTAATTTTTAAATGATATTTTGGGAGATAAATACTAGGAATTAATTTATAATTTTTATATCAATAATTTTTATTTTTTCACCTCTATAAATAGAGATTAGTCTTGTGTAATTTGGAGAACAAAAAAAATCTGAGTTTTCAACACCTTATTCTCCTTCTCTTTGCTTTTGCTTCTATATTCTTCAAACTTTTTCAAATGGATCCTTCACAAAATTATCTTAATTTCTCCTACAACTTTCCTAACCAGCCTCAAAATACCAACCCTCAAAATCCAAATATGCAAGCCCCGGAAAATACTCAAAATGCTGGTATATATGTTGGAGTGATGGGGTTATAGTGGGTCCCAAATAAAGTAAAAATCTTTTGAAAAAATTTCTGCTGTAGAGATGATAGAAAATGGAGATTGTTGAATTATGTGGAGGGGGAATAAAATGATGTGGCAGGAGAGAGAAGGTTAAAATTTCGACTCCTGATGGAGATAGTCTAACAGCGTTTTTGTCGTCCAATCCATTTGGAGTTTGATAAACGTATTGCTTTTTGTGAAGGGTGTGTTTCGCGTTTATTTATTACTTTCCCAAGTATTTTGTCACATTATAAGGGGCTGTTTGTTTTGCTTCTCTTGCCCCTGATTCCCTGTCAAAACTGACAGTTTGCTGTCAGTTTTGACAGCTTTCTTGTCAAAATACCCCTAAAAAGAACGTTTTGGCAAGAAAGCTGTTGTCAGTTTTGACAGAGAATCAGGGGCAAAAGAAACCAACCAAACAACCCCGTGTGGCGATACGGACAACATAGTTACTGATCAATGACAATTATCAAGTGTTTTAGGTTTTCTTCATTTTTCTTGCCAAAAAGACATAATTGAAGACACATGTCTATTGTCCACCCACGAAAACACGAGTTGGAATCAACTAAGTATGATATAATAAGTAAAAGAGAGGCTAAATATCACAAAAACCCCTGAAGTTTGAATGATTAGTCAGATAACCCCCATAACTTTCATAATTACAGAAAACCTCCTTTAACTTTAGGGGTTATCCGAAAATCCCCTTTCTTTAATATTTTTTTTAGAAAACCACCTTCAACAGTGCTAAATCTCTTTGACTTGAAGATTACTCAGATCATTGTTTTCAAAGGCGCGCACATCCCTGCGCCCTGCGATGCGGGGTGCCTCGGGGGCAATGGCGAAGCACCTAGCATCTGATGTAGCAACGTCTTTTGTGCCTCGTATGTGACTGTTCTTCATGTAGGACATATGCTTGGCATAGCCACATACAATTTTGTTCTTTAATTAATATTTCAATTGGGTCTTTATACCTGGTGACTCATAACCAAAAAGCAAACTAAAGCCGTTAAGCTTTTCTAGTAGCCCGATTGAGGACCATAAGTTCGCATCAATATTGGTCTTGATTTGACTTTTTATTTGAAAATTTATGAACTTCACTCTATGTTGGATGTGTTAGTATAAGAAATTAAGACCTTATTTTGTGATTTCATAGCAGATGTTGTTTATCTTGACATGTTTTTATGTGAATATATATAATGGGTTTTCTCATGGGAATCACCTTAAAATGTAGATGAAATTGATACAAACCACCTTATGTGTGTTATCCTCTCAATGTCACACCTCTGTCACTATTCAGCCCAAAAAAATTAAATACCCATTTTACCACCGTCTTCTCCATCTTCCTCCTTCCCTCCACCCCCAACCCCCTTGCCTCCCCTCTTCCTTACCTCGTTGATGTGGTGTTTGTGAATATATCGAGATTGCAAGTGCACAATCAAATTATAGTATAGAAAATATCGAATCCCATGAGGAAGGTATTGTAGAAATTAATATAAAGTAATTCTTAAGTTGTGTGTGTGACAATTAGGAGTGATAAATGTGTGATTGTGGAGAGATATGAGGAGAGTGATTGTGACTATATGTAAATAAAAACAAAAGTAGATTGAGAATGGAGGAAGAAAGATGAAGAAATAGAAGGAAAATAAAATCAAGAATTAAATAAAGAAAAATCAAGAATAAAGAGAAAAATTAAGAAAGTAAAAGACGGTGGATTCAATTAAAGATATGAGGAATCTAGAATTGAATCCACTAGTCAATTTCAATTATAAATTATAAATCATTCTATTTTTATCATATTTTACTTTAGATTTATTAATCATAGACTATCAAACCACTTAAGAAAAGCATAACATATCAAATTATCATCTAAGTAAAATTATTATTCATGAAAAGAACAACAACTAAATACTAATTCTAGAATTCCTCCTACCAATTAGTTCTCTAGTTGATATCCTAAACATGATCACTTTAAGCACAAGAGAGTAATTCACAATTCATAAAAGGAATTAAATTAGTTTTATTCAATTCTAGAATTCCTACAAGAATTAGTTCCTTATCTTAGAAAATAAAAATAAAGAAATAAAATAGAGAGAATGAAAATAAAAACCAACTCCAAAGAGGGTTCTAGCTTCTTGGTGAATAGTGTAAAAAAATAAAATCAAAACTATGCAAGAAAAAAAATCTATATTACAAAATAATTGCAAGAAAATAAAGACATAAAAGTAAATCTACTCTACAATGCATGAAAATAAATCTAATTCAAGAGGGTTCTAACCCCTTAAATATCTAAAGTAAAAAATATATTACAAGAAAATAAAAAGATAAAAGAGAAAATTTACATTCCAAAAGGGCTCTAGCCCCTTGATGAAGGTAAATTTTCATCTTGATTTTCTTCTTCATATCATCTTCATCTTCATCATCAAAGAGAAGAAAAAAATATGAAGAGGTAAAAATTTTATTTTATTAATTATAACAAAAGTTACAATTTTGAAAGGTTTTCTTAATTAAGAATAACCCTCCACTCCGAATGGAGTTTTTACAAAAAAATTTATACTCAAAGCCCTCAGCATCTATCCATATTTAAAGCCTACAGCAATGAATAAGAACCCTTAGATTTTGCTTGGAGATTAAATATTAAATTGCATTCATAAAATAGTTTTTGTTGCAAATCGGTTGGCCGACTGATTGGCCAATCGGTCGGCCGACCGATTTGTTTGCAACAGATTGATTTTATGTAATTTCTTGACCCGATTTCTTCATGGATCCTTGAGCTTTCTTGGGCCTGCTTTTGTCTTCATATTTGGGCTTCAATAAATGGTAGAAAATTAAGGAGTTTGATTCTTTTAGACTTTTATTCATTAATCCATCATTAACCTGCAAATTGAGGTAAAACACATTTATTAGTGATATTTTTATTTAAATGAAATAGATAAAGAGGGTATATAAATGTAATAAAAATGTGATTATTACCGGTTCTTCCCCACACCATTCCGTCTTAATCTCCTCTTCTTCCTCCTTTCCTCCCCCTTCACCTTCTTTTTCCTTTCAACCTTCCTCCTCCATTGTCACTTTTCTCACATCTTCCTTCTTCTCCTCCTCTTCCTCCTCCTTCCTTCCTCCTCTCTCTATATTCTCACCGCCGACACCAACCTTCTTCTCTCCTCCTCTCATGTCATCCACCCGATCATCTGCCCCTCCCCCACTCTCCTCTCTTTTTTAATTTGGTTAGATTGAGGGGTATTATAGTAATTCATATATATATATTTAAAACAGAAATTACCCAAAAGTGTGACATTGAAAGGATAACATATATATATAGTGGTCTTAACATTATAGGAGGTTTGTATCAATTTCACCTATATTTAAGGTGGTCTTATAAAAAACCTCATATATAAACATGCTTTTTCATTCTTGATAACTGTCTTGAAATTATGTGTGTGGTATGCACCTCGCTTCACTTGAGTGCGCACATCAC